GCTCCAAAACCACAGAGAAACCCTGTCTCGAAAAACAAACAAACAAACAAACAAAAAAAGCAAAACAAGCCAGGCAGTGGTAATGCACACCTTTAATTCCAGCACTTGGGAGGCAGCGGCAGGCAGATCTCTGTGAGGTCTAGAGAGCAAATTCTAGGACAGCCAAGAACAGCTAAGGCTACATAGAGAAACCCTGTCTCAAGAAGAAAAAAAAAAGAAAAAAACCTTGCCCTAGACCATACAAAGACTCAGACCGACATTTTTGTTGACCCTGAGACATCTACCCCCTGCACCATTCTAGCCTTACCTGGCAAAATCCACCCATTTTTCGATAATCTTCTTTGGTGACAGACGAGTACAGATGATGCCCACAAAATCAGGCTGGCAGGAAAGAAGAAAGTCAAAACTAGCAAAACCCCACCCCACCTCAGCTGCCAAACACCCACAATCTCAGGAATGCCAGGGCAGCCCCAAAGCTCACCCCCGGCCCCTTACGTGCCCACCCCCCACTCTCGGGTCAGTCTTGGGGTCAGCTCCACCTTGTCTTCATGCAGCGCCAGGTGATGGGTAGCCAGCATGCGGATCCCTAGTCTTGAAGTCAGAGTCTTGTCCAGGAAGTACCGGACCAGCTTTTCATCCTAGAAAGAGGGGGCCTGTGAAACCTCTGTCCCCTCTCAACCCTCCTACTTCAGCGGGCCCATTCTCCATTGCCTCTGACCTCTATGTGTTTCCGGCTCTCACGAAGCCCCTCGGCTAACAGAGTGACCACGTCCTTGTGGTCATCCAGCAGCTGTCGCACCAGCTGGCAGTACCGGGCCTCATCTGCCTGGTCCTTGATCTGCAGGTCACAGAGTCCTAAGCATAGTGGTCCAACCCTGACCTTGGCCCCTCACCCTGCTCAACCCAGCCTCACCGGAGGGAAGTCTGTCAGCTTCTGGAAGGCCCGGATATATAGCTCATGCTGCGTGGAATAAGTATGGGAATTCACGGAGCTGCCACAGACACTTGAGTAGAAAACAGTTACCCATAGGGATCACCACCCAACTCAATTAGCAAGGTCCAAGCCCCCAGACCCTTCCAGTACCCACTGATCAGGTAGTCTCCGCCTCTGATGTCCCGAGGCTTAGTCCCATCTGGACCTGATACCTTTCAGCAGGCCGGGGCTCCCCATCTGCCTCTCGGGCAGTGTGTATACTGATAAAGTCCCCTCTACCTTACCACGTGCAGTATGGTGGGATTGCAACCAATGATGAAAGGAAGGCTGCGGAAGCCCTTGATGCGGTGAGCAATCCTCACTGGTAACTCCTGCTGCAAGTAGCGGCCACTTTTCTGTAAGAAAAAGAGGGGAGGGCCTAAGCAGCTGGCTAGAGTTTCTGGAGCAGAGAGGAAAGAGAGAGCCTTACCAGAAGGTGGCTGCCGTCCTGTGAGCGGCCAGAATAGAGCATCATGGTGGGAGTGAGGCGGACTGAGGGCTAAAAGGGAAGGTGGACTTTGAGCACCAGACATTCAAGACCCGCCAACCCCACATTAGCTCAACCCTTTCCCTGAAGACTTATCCCAGCTTCCCTTCTGCTAATCACCCAGACCTCATACCTTCTCTGCTGCCACGTCAATGGCTGACTGGTTGTAAAAGGAGGTGACCGTCTTGGAGCGCTCCCTGGCCAGCTCTACATGGTGTGTATCGGTGGCTGATGTTGAGCGAGTCCTGAGTGACAGTGAGGACCCCAAGAGGGGCCGGAGTGAAGGCCCTCTCCAAGGGCCACTGCCCAGCACAAATGTCAGTATCATTGTCCTGTTTCTTTGTTGAACTAGGCTGCCACTACAGGGCTGAGGGAGGACCCGACACGCAGTAGTGACCCCCCCCCCCAAGCGAAGCAAAGAGTGTGTAGGGCTTTTCTCAGAATTCAGGGATGTCGGTCCTTCGAGGATGCTGACTTGCTCAGCGCCGGCACGACAGCTTCCATCTATTGGAGTGGCAGAAGTCAGTGGTAAGGATCCGAATCCAGATGGCTTGCACTATTTCTCCAAGTGCACGCCAGTATCCTTAGACCTAGACAATCTTGCCCAGCCCTTACAACCACCATGTCCCCAGACACTCAGGCCGAGCCGAGGTTGGACAACACTCTCAGGGTGCCCTACTCTTCTATGTGAAACTTAACCTGACGGCGTGTGTGCGCGCTCAGGTCAGCGGGTGGAGTAATCTCCAGTCCACTCTAGCCGTAAAACCTCTCCTCAGCTCCCTCAGGTTCTGGACCACCCCATTCAGGGGGTGGATCTGGCCCCTAATCGGCTTTACTGGACCCGAGCCCTTAAAGACGCGCCTGCTTACACGCATAGCGTATGGGAGAACAGGGTGCATGCAGCAAAGCTGCAGTCCCAGAGTTCCCCATCGGAGCTCCCCTCCTCTGGGTCACTTAGTCCGGCCAGGGTCCCCCCATATGGTAGATGCCAGCCCCCGCCCATGCGCACTCCCGCGCAGAGTGGAGGCTGAGGACGTGTGCTGCCGAGCGTCTGCTGGAGGGGTTCTGCACTAGTTACTCCACTTACCGCGAGGCCAGACGCTGGGCCGGGCCGGGGTCCGAGCGGAACCGCCGCGGCAGTCGACCTGCCCGGCTAGCCGAGCTCGCCTGCGCCCTCCTCCGTTGTAACATCGCGCGGGCTGTGTGTGCCCAGTGCCTCCTGGGAGTTGTAGTTTGGCCACTAGGACTCGCGTGGGCTCCTGCCCACCAGGCTATCCCCTAACCCCTTCAGATAAGTAGTTTAGCTCCCTCCGGTGGTCCCAAAGTTACCAGTGACTTATCATCGACTCTACCCTATGTTCTATAAAATAAGCTCCCTGAGGGCAAAGTGCTAGAGAACAGGAAAAGCCCTTAGATGTGTACAGAATAGATCGACCTGTTTCTCTAAGGTCCCATCCTTTAAGCTGCTAACTCACTCATGGTCTGCCTGGTTCAAACTCCCCTCAGCTCCCTTAACACCCGAGGAAAGTTAGCTAGTTTCTCAGTGCTCTAATTTTGTTATTGGCAAAATGAGGAACTCTGTAGGTTATATGAGTTTATATATCCAAGCAGCCTAGAACAGGGCTAGGTGTGGAATTCGCACGAGCGTTACTAATTCTACCTGCCTGCAAGTTAACGTGAGTGGGTGACTTTTCTGACCCACAAGGGAGGTAGGGTGTTTCAAATAAATAGCCCTCTACTCTGAGGAAGAAAACAGTTAGGGTGTGATGGGTGTGCTAGTAGCTTCACAGGAGGTTGCGAGAGAACATGGCCAAGATACTGGGACCGGATAAAGAACAGCCTGGGTGATGAGGGAATGACTGGAGAAATATGGAATCCGGGAGGTAGGGGTGGCCAACAGCTGGGAGTTAGGAACCACCCAATGATTTTGGTTTTGCTTTGAGACCAGTCTCAAATGGTGAGTCTCACTATTGTGGACAGACTGGCCTGGGACTCTCTATCCTCCTGCCTCAAGCCTGGGAAACTGATCCTTCCTACCTCAACCTCAGCTTCCTGGCAAGTGCCACCACACGTGGGTTCCCTAAGGGTTTTAATTGTCCCCTCCTCTTTAGAACCCCCTAGCTGAGGTGATGGGAAGATGGACCAGATGGCAAAAAGAACTACTAAGACAATTTAGCCGAAAGAGGATGGGGAGATTTTCAGAGTGTGTGTGTTGATTGCTTAATATTTAAAGATAGAGCTGGGCGATGGTGGCGCACGCCTTTAATCCCAGCACTCGGGAGGCAGAGGCAGGCAGATCTCTGTGAGTTCGGGACCAGCCTGGTCTACAGAGCTAGTTCCAGGACAGGCTCCAAAGCCACA